TTTTATTAAAATTTAAATAAAAAATTTTATAAAAATATCAATGTAATACTTTTAAGATTTATAATAAAATTAATAAAAAAATAATTTATAAAAGATTATAATATTTTTTATAAATTGTATTGTTTAATGCGATTAAGATTTTTTTAAATTCAAAAAAACTCTTCGCTATACCAAACTTGCATTTAATCAATCGCTAAAAAGTCAAAAAGTCATCATTTTGATCCATGATGAAAAAAAAAAAAAAAAAACCAAAAAGGATTTTAGCTCTTTCTTTACGCATTCACTTATCTCTCTCGGCTGCACCCCTATACCCGATCATCATTACCGTTAAAATTCTGGCCACCCTCATCACCTCCGATCACCAATCATGAACAACAAACCCCCGTTTTCTTTATAAATATTTCGGTTTTGCTTTACCCGCTCACTTTCTTTCTCAAGGCTGAACTTAGTTTCCCATGGATTCTCCGCCGCCATCCATAATCAAGTGATAACAGTAAGTGGAGATGGGCGCAGGGCCGAGGAATCGCAGATTTGCAATTCCTCGGTGTTTGCTCCAGTTTCTTGCCGTGCAATTCACGCGCCTGTTGATGAGAAGCTGGAAAATTCGGAACGCTTGACACACTTGCACGTAATCTGCTGTTCCACTTTTGATCTGCAAGTTGGAGTATTGATCATCCTTCAAGCAGCAAATCAATGTGATATGAGGCCTAATACATTCAGTCGAGGCCCGGTTCACATCCATAGGCTAGGACATGGAAGAGATCGACACAAGAACAGGCGCAAATGAGCACCAATCTACTGATCTTCGGTCGCCGAAATATGGACGACCTATGTGGTAGAATTTTTAGGGTTTTTGAGAGGGCTATAAATAAGGGTTTCTGTGATTTTAAAAAGGAGAATTTCTTTTGGGGTATTTGGAAGAGGTTATGTGGGGAGAGTTTTGTTTGGTTAAAATAACAATTTGGTTCCTCATCTTGTAGAATTGTATTAAATCTTTAAAATTTTATTAAAATTCTCCCTTGATAACTACTAAAATTATTCTTAAAGTTTAATTTTTAATATCAAAATTGTATTTAAATTTTGAAGATAAGTATTAATTGAATTTTTTAATTTTGATTACAAATATTAATTTTATTTTGTAATTTTAATTATGTGTTAATTTAATATGTATATAAAAATATATCATAGTAATAAAATATAATTATATAATTTTATAAATAATTAATATTTAAAAAAAAACTAATTTTGTGAGAAGATAACCGAGTGAGGTGATATTTTTGTTAATGAAAGAACTATTTTAATATTGAAAATTAAAGTTTAAAGATAGTTTGGTAAATTTTTGAAGATGAGGGATAATTTCAGTACAAATCTGAAAGTTGAGGGACCAATTAAGTATTTTAACCATTGTTTTCTTGCTGCTGGGGCGAGGTTGGCAGAAAGGAATTCCAGAGGGAAGATCGGCAACAATTTCTGGTTGAAGGGCTGATTCTGATTGGTAGTGAGACGCTGGAAAAAAGGGAAGAAATTGCTTTGCTTGAGCTAGGTATAACTTCTGAACAGAGGGGTTTTTGAAGAGGTGATGAAGGTGAAGATTGGAGCCTAATCCTGTGGGTCGGATTCCTTCCTTCAGATCTGGATCTGCCGTTCTTCAGAAATTTCTGCCGTGTTTGCTTCCTTTCAATGTTCTCTGTAATACTTAGATGATTTGTGGATAAGTTTTGTGTGAATTTGCTGGAAAAATTCAATGAGATTCAAGCGTGTTTATCATGCTTCATGATTTGTTTAATTGGGAATACGCATTTGGATCGAATTTTGGTTAAAGTTTGTGATTGGAATTTTAAGTTCGTCCGATCATAAACCCTAATTTTTCCTTTATTTTGCTTGAGTTGGATCCATTTTTACCCACTCTAATATTTGGGTCATGTTTATGGGTCGGATTGACCCGACGCAGTAGGTTTAAGGATTAGTAAAAAATATAAATAAAATAATATTAAAATAATTATAATGATTAGTTTAATATATATGGTTAATAGAATTAATTAATTTTAATTAGAATAAATTAATTTCATTTATGGGTCTTCTTAAAGTAATTAAATTTGCTTAATTATTTTAATTAGATAATAATAAATGTAATTAATTAATTTTAATTAATATTAAACAAACCGTTTCAATTAAACCAAGAATTATGATTAATTGGCTTTAAATTGTCTACTTTTACCTAATCAAGTCAAAATTAAAAAGAGTTTCTTTGTGTGCATAAGGTTAAAAGTGTAATAAAATGTATTTTTTTCTAATTAATTTATATAAAAAATTGGTAATTATTTTAACATATTAATATATAGATAATTTTAATTAATTAATTAATTAATTTAAAATCAACATTTATTATTTTTTATAAATTAATTATAAAAAATATTAATTATATCTCTTACGCACAAATTAGGGCATAAATTAAAAAAATTCAATTAAAAAAGTAAAAATTATCTTTTATTGAATTTTAATTTTACCCAAAACTTTTTTTGATCAAGTAATTTGGTTCATAAGTTTTAAATAATTTCAAATTTATCCTACAAGCTCTGAATTTCCTCAACTTAGTCCCTTAACTTTTAATTTGTTATGATTTGGCTTTTTTTCTTTTATTTTGTTCAAATTAGTCCAATGGTTTTCAAGAAATGCAATTTCATCCTTTTACTTTTAAAGTTCACTTAATTAAAACCAAAAATAACAAAAAATTGAACAAAGATTTTAATGTTAAAGTATACAATTGTGTTTTATATGAAAAATTGTGAGGTGTACGTATACCCTTTCTCATTTAACCATACTCTCAGACCATGATTTTTGCACATTTTATGTTTTAAGTGACTTGTTCTACTTTATAATTTAGATGAGTAACAACTCCTTTTCAAATTTTCACACTTAACTTTCAATTTTCATTTTTAAAATTTTAAAGTGGTCGTTAACAACTATGATAACCATTAAGGTAGCATTTAAATGAAATTAAAAAAAAGCCTATTTCATTCCAATACCTTTGTTGCTATGGTGGGTCAAAGCACCAAAACTAATCTCCAAGTATGGGGATGCAAATAGATCCACCCTCAAACTAATTGTAATACCCCGAATTTTTTTTTTAAGCACCTAAATTCTCAAGAAGGCTTATGTTGAGCAATTAATTGTGATATAATATAAAAGGGGATTTTAACAGGGGACCAAGTTGTCTAACTCGTTAATCTTGGGAATGTTAACAAAAAAAAAAAAAAAAAAAAAAAAAAAGAAAAAAAAGAAAAAGGAGAAGGTAGAATGAATAGAATAAACAAGAGAAACCTATTCCCTTTTTTGGGCTTTCTTCTTCTCTTTTTCTGATTTTCCTCTTCTCTTCCATTCTAAATCCTAAAAAACCTATGGAGCCATCAACCTTCTAGCCTCTCTATGATGCTTCTTCTTCTAATCAAGATTGCTATTGTTTGTTCTTCCTTTCTTGATTGTGATTAACTGCTCAGTGGGTGTTCTTTCTATAACCTTTCTAGGAAATTTCAGAGCTTGTTGCTGTTCATCATTCCTCTTTTATCCATGATTTCCATGTTGTTATGAAAATCTCTGTCATTCAAGGTGTTTTCTAAATATTTTGGGACTATTTTAAATGGCAGAAACCCTTTCTTACTACCCAAACTTTTTCCACTGTTGTCTAGGGTTCTTTCAAGCTTGGTTTCTCACTAATTCTACTCCACACTTTATTCTGCTCAAAAAATATGTTTGGAATACCTGTTGTTTAGAGTGACACTTGGAGTTGTTTTAAGCATGTTTCTTCCCTATTTAGCTACTACAAAGTTGTGGTTTTGTGTCTTTGTTTTCCCTCACAATTAGGTAAATATTTAGGTTCTAGTCTAGAAGAAAGTTTGGGTAACAAATTGATGAGTAAGTGGAGCATTATGGAATGGATGTTGTTGAATATTTTTGTTGAGTATGAGTAAGAAGTATGAAGTTTGGAAGAATTATAGAATTAGGAAATCTTCTTGAAGAATTAGAAGGTTAGCTTGACTAAGTTTGTAATAAAGTTTCTTTCATGAAATCTTTGTTAGATTCTTGAATGGCCTTAGCGTTAGGCTTGGCAAACGAGCGGGTTAGGTCGGGTTTGGGTTGAATCAACTCGAGTGACAGGTTATACGGGCTAAGTCGTGAACGGGTTACGAGTTGGAAAAGTCCAACTCTAATCCAACCCTAATGGGTTATGAGTTAACCCGTGAGTTGACTTTATTTTCATTCTTTATAATTATTTTTATTAATATCATTATACACAAATAAAATTACATATTTAAATCTAATTAAAGTATTGTAACTCATTAACACTAAGCACTTTATAGCCTCAACCATAAACATTTAAATTAAGAAAAAATCATAAAGTTATAAATAGTAGTAAGTTGATAAACAATATTAAACTTAAAATATTTAAATTTCTTGAAAAAAAAAAGTTTTAATTTTACAATCATCTTGAAACATTATCAAAGAGTTTAAGCCCTTTTTTATGATGAAATTGCTCTTCCAAGCACATCTTTCACTAAATTATTATGTTTATATCATAGCATCACATCTTTAAAATTTTTAGTTGCATTATCATTTAATTCATGATACTTGATAATTAGATCAAACCTATATAATTTCTAGAGAAAGAAAAAGAAATTATGATGAGTAAACACTCAAAATAAGTTCAAAACCATTTAACTAATGGAAATGAGGTTGAAGAGTATGAATTAATAAAGAGAGTTACCGATAGGCAAATTAATTAAGAATAATAAGTATAATATTTTTAAAAAATAATAATAAAAAATAAAATAAACAGATCAACACATCAACCCACGGGTTGACTTTAACTCGACCTGTGACCTGTACGAGCTGATATTATGGGTTATCTACAAGTTACGGGTTGAGATATGTAAACCTTAATGCATTTTTACAAATTGGGTTAGGGTCGAGTTAGCAGGTTGGGTGGATTTTTGCCACCCCTCCTTGGCATATTAGCTTTGGAATTTTGATTGCTAGGACTTGAGAAAATTCTAGTTTTTGTCACACAAATTTTTAGTCTTGATCTCATCTTTGAAGTGGCAATTTGGGGACTGATAAAAATTCAGGTGAGAGTCATGGACTAAACTTGCAAACCTTGCTGTGTTATGTGTTATATTTAAGATGTTATGTTAATTTTGTTATAAAAATCTGGTTACAAGTTGTCCATATTGCTCTGTTTATACCTTGTTGAGCCTTAACTTCTCTTAATGTTTTTATACTAGAAAGTATGTTTTTCTATAGTTTAAATTTGCATTGTTGACTATTCATGCCATTTGCACACTTAAAATTATGCTTAACACAACCTTAAGTAGCCTTGAATTTCACCTGTAAGTAGCAACGGTTTTGAGCTTGATTTCTAATTTATTTAGTTGCTATTTTTTTGTTTTCTTGCCTAGAAAATCCTATTGAGAAGCCTTTACCTTTTGCCCTAAAACTCGCTTGTAAGTGGCTCAATTATGTGAAAAAAATTTGCATTATTTCAATCCTAGTTATGCTAGGTTGTAGTTAGATTTTAGGCCTAAAAGTGCTTGTCGAAAGAAAATCAACATTTTTCTTGCTCTTGAATTACATTGTTTTTAGCATGATTTGGACCATGATTAGGCTGCTGAAATTCACAGCCTGACCTTGGGTTAATATTTTGACCATAACTTTCTCTATAGATGTCAGATCCAAGCAAATTTTAATTCTGTAAAAAGCTAAGAGATAGTCCTATTGTTTATCTATTGAACATTTAATTCATTTCAATTGTTATTGAGTTGAAAACTCAGCTGCAACATTTAGTTCTTGAGGGTGACTGGAATTGGCAGCCTGACATTGTGTTAGTAATCTGGTTATAACTTTCGCTATAGATATCAAATTGAGGTGATTATTAATTCTATAGAAAGCTAAGACATAGGGCTACAATTGATCAGTTAATCATTCATCCCAATTTGGTTTATTTTTAGTTGTAAATTTAGTTTAAATTTCTAGTTCGGCATCTGACCAGAACTTGCTTGCAAGTTCTTGTTGATTTGGTGTTCAATTTTGCAGTTGTCTTTATTCTTTGGTTCTTAAATATTTTGATATCCAAATTCTTGGTTCTTGAGGAATCTTAATTCTTTGCAAAGTGAGGTAAGTAAATTTTCAAATTTGCCAATGGTTCTAAACTAAGGCTTTAGAAGCATATTTTTAAACTATTTTGAGAGGTGGTAGTAGGACCTAACTTGATTTATGTTGATATGGGCATGGCATGGTTTGATATTAAGTTTTATAATTGTTATTTATTGAAGCTTGAGCATACTTTTTTCATGAGATATACATATTGAAACAATCTGGATTATGTTTACACTTTCTTGTTTAAATGCCTGAAACAATCTGAATTATGTTTCTTGTTTAAATGTTTGAAACAATTTGAATTTTGTTCCCTGATTAAATGCCTACATTGTTTTGTCTTTGATTTGTCGTGATTCTTGTTGTCTTGCAAGTGGAAGTGTAAACACTAGTAATTCCTGTTATCTTGCTAGTGGGAGTGCAAACAATGGTTATTCCTGTTATCCTGCTAGTAGGAGGGTAACATTGGCAATTCTTGTTATCCTACTAATGGAAGTATAAACACTAGTTATTTTTGTTATCCTGTTAGTGGGAATGTAAACACTAGCCATGACTAACTGAGGAGACCACTAAAAGATTATTATTATTATTATTATTATTGTGC